GAAAAAAATATAATTCTCCTGGGTGTGTTATGTGATATAAAGTAAGGATATAGTCTACATCTAAGTAAGATTTTGTGTAAACATACACTTATACATTAGTGTTGGGTAATAAATGGAGAAAACATTAGATGTCAAAACGAGAAAGGTCATTACAGGACTGTAATTTAAAGTTACCCTCCGTTTATGAAGGGGCATGTTACTTTTTAAAGATTTTAATTGTTCTCATTTGTGGTTTCTAGCCCTTCTTGCCCTGTAAAAATGATTTTTTAAAGGGAGTGACCGGCTATGTAAGGTAGTTGAACTGAGTATGCAGCGAAAAAGAAAGTAAAAATCATACAGTAATCTAATTAGATAGTTCGGAACATATTTTTCTAAAGAAATTTGTCAATAAATCAATGCTAAAATCGATTATTTCGTTTTCATTATTATGTTGAATTTTTTTTCTTTGAATTTCTTCGCAGATTTCTTCAAATTCTTCAAAAGTCGTCTTTTCAATAATAATTTTAGAAAATCTGCAAAAAATCTTTGTGAAAAATGAGAAACCAGAATAATGAGAAAATAGAAACTAATAATTAAACAAGATTACTTATTTTTGATGATAAGATCAATTTTTATTTTATCAACAAGTTCCTATGCATAACGTCTGTAGTTTACTGAAGAACTTTTTTACATTTTATATCGTCGTTATTTAATAATTAAAAGAACTAATTCCGAAAACGTATCCACCCCAAAGTAGGAGTTTTGAACGTCGAATTTGCGCTCAAACTCAGGATTTACAGATCTTTAAAAAGTTTAATATGTCTTAAATGAATCCGAAAAAAGATTTCCACAACACTTTATTCTCAGTTTAACTACCTTACATAGCCGGTCACTCCCTTTAAATTATGCCAATTGATTGTGAATCAGACATGACATTCCGTGAAAAGAGAGTCACTTAAAATTTTTTCTTCATTCCCTTTGATATATATACATTAAACAACCTTGATTTATGTACTTTATGTAATCACAAAAATAAATATATAAATATAATATTTATTCTGAGAAAATAGAAGAAACGATTCTTTCATCTTCATTCGAGCATGAATCTGATGAGAAGATAATGTGAAAGGGTGACATATGATGCCAACTCGTTGTGCATGTAATAAGTGCCTTACTCCAATATTTCTTTATAAGTGTGTCTCAATCCACACACAACTATATCGAACTCTATCCTCTCTACCGAATCCTGGTAGGTCTAAGTATGTATTTATCGACACACAAAGCTTTCAATCTCTATTCTCTCTACCGAACAATGGAGGGTCTAAGCATGCATTTATCGACACACAAAGCTGTATAACACTATACCCTCTACCGAACACTGGTAGGTCTAAGTGTGTGTCTATCCACACACAAAGATATCAATCTGTATCCTCTCTACCGAACACTGGTAGGTCTAAGTGTGTATTTATAGACACACAAAGCTATCAGACTCTATACTATACCGACAATGGTATCTTTAACCGTCCTTAACTAGAGTCTAAATTCAACTGAATATATTTAAGTCTAAGGTATATATATACAGGTAGGTTCAGGTTTCAAAGATATGCGGGTTATTACTATATTTATTACATGCATATATCTAACCCTCCCCCCTGTCCTCTCTTTCAATATTTATAATTCAATTCAATGTTTTAAAAACATTGGGTTGAAAGATACTGTTCATCTGCATACTATATTATATCTACGATGTTGTATGAGAAATTTTATAAATTCCCAATAAACCTTTTTACCAAACCCCCGGCTTTCATATTCTACATTTTTAATCCGAGTTTATGAATTATCTTGAAAAGGAAATATATCGGATAAAGTTTTCAAAAGTTATTTTCATTTTCAAAATCTTTGAATTTTCAGAATATTCTTAAAATTTGTGAACATGAAATTTCTACAGGAGGGGACTTTGATGTACATATGTATATATTCATTTAAAATTTCGTTTATTAGAAAAGCATAACTTTTAAAATTAACTTTTTACGACATCGATCTTCTCTTTAGTAAATTGATAGATTTTTACTCAGTTTTAACTTTGGTTTATTGAAAAAGTTATTTTAAAATTCCACGAATTTTTGCAAATTTGTTTGCGCATATTATCTGCTTTTTTGTCAAATCTTGAGAACTTGAGATTTGGTAGAATTAATAGGGAATGTGAAAAATAAAACTAGGGGTTATGTTATGACGTCATGTACTTAATATTATAAAAAGTAGCATTATGATTTTGTTGCTTATGGAACCATCTTACATCGAGTTTGTAAGCTGAGCTGAACTTTAGAATGTGGTATCCTTAATCCCGATCTGTTAATTAATCTGGAGATTAAATTCATAGAGAGAACAAGCAATATTTAATCTGGAGATTAACAAAAAGAGTGGATCAAGCATTAATCCCGATATCCATCATTCAAAAGTTCCCAGCTCTGAAAACTTTAGAATAGAATAGAATAGAATAGAATTAAACTCCTGGTTTTACTAAACCCAGGATTATTTTAGAACGCATTCGATATCCTAGAAAGAAGTTTAACCAATCAGCGTGTCATGTTAAGATGTACTCTTTAACTTTAAAAAACCGATTTTGATTTCTGGTGTTGATGGTGTCATATCAATAACTAAAAATCGATTGAACGAACGTAAGTTTTGGATTAATGATTATTAAGACGTTCAAGATGACAATAGTCCTAAAATATGTTTATATAATTTGATATTAACATGATTAAATTTATATTTGCTTAAATGCTCTAAAAGCCGGCTTATGAACAGCTGACTTTAATCCAATCGGATATAAGTCCAATCGATATAGCATTGTATCTGTAATTTTATCAAACGTAACTTTTATGCAGTCTAGTAGAAACTAGAAATATCCAAACGAGGATTAAGGAGAAAATCAAAAGTGTGTACATTGGATAATCAGATTAAGTGATCGTGATTAAGGTATCTCATTCTAAAGTTTTCAGCTCTGATTGAAACTGACTTGTTTTATCTACGGATTTCAATCTTTTTGAAAAGCTATATTGAGTTAAAAAAAAATTGAATTTCTAATATCCAACAACAATTGTATTTAATTTTTTTTTGAATGAGTTTTTAGATTTAATCTGTTATTGCTCAATATGAAAGACAAAAAAATTGATTAAATGTGAAAAAAATCACGGAATTAAGCATAATGTAAATGTATATTATATTGATTTTTCACAATATTTTGATTTTTGAAAAAAAAGTATTTTTAGATATTTAAGTCAAAATTCAAAAAATAAATCATAAAGCATAAAACTTGATATTTAAACTGAAACGTTTACCATTTTTTATATTGAAAATTGAAGCTAAAAATTTTCAGGGGGATTAAGGAGGTTTTTTTAAAATTTGTTATGCCTTTTATCTGTTAATTTAATCACTTATTTACTTAAAGTTTATTTCTATAAACTGTGTGATAACCAGTAAATTTTTCAACAAGAATTTTTTTTGAAATTTTTGTTATATGCTTAATAAACATTTATCTCTAAATTTTGAATCGAAAAATGTCACTTGCACAATTTTATTATTATTATTTTCAGTAGAGAGCGGTAAAAATCTTACTTTTGTTTATTTTACATTTAAGAATTTAGCATAAAGGAAAACTAGGCTAAGGTTCAATCTAAAATTGTGCACCTGCCTTCCACAAAAATAACCTAAGGGAGTGTTTGCGAAATAAAAAAAATTCTTATCGCACTGAAAGTTCAGAAGTAGACGGTAGCGACTAGTTCAACGTTAACACCTCTTTTCTCCTCTAGTTTTCATTTTACGCACAAGTTTAAAGGGAGTGTTCGCGAAAAATGAAAGGGGGTTTAGACGTACGGCGAAAAATAAGCGCTTTTGATCGCTAATAATCTTACTTCTATCTGTGGCGTCCATAAGGAGGAAATTTTTAAATTTAATTCCGAACAAATCATCCAGATATTACGAACAAAGTCATTGATTATTTTTCGACTAATTTGTATATAGTTAATATTTCATACTGTTTTTGATTTTGTTTTTAAAATAATTTTCGCTGGCGCTGGATTTTCGAACATTCCCGGGAAATATGAAAATGTCGTTTTTATTATCAAATATCCTCGAAACAGAAATAAATATTTTCAAAAGTAACTATCAGATCATAAAAGAATAAAATATACTATAAGATATTAACTATTATATGAATGCCTCGAAAAATTATCGAAGATTATTGGTTGTAATATTTAAATGTTTTTTTTAATTAAATTTATTTTTTATGATCCGAGTTGAATCTATAAATAAATTTAGCTTGTCTGTTTGTTTGTATCCAATGAACGTCAAAACGGCTTAACCGATCGGGCCCAAATTTTTTGTGGGACATCACGTGACCGCAGGGAAGGTTTATGAATGATAAAAATTAAAAGAAAAGTGTTTTAAAGGTTTTTAATTTTGTAAAAAAATTCAAAATCTTGAAAATCAGTGAATTTTTTTTTTAATCCGCAAAATTTTTTTCTTCTTTGTTTTAAAATGTAAACAACAGGAACATGTTCACAATTTAAATAGAAGATGGGCGCGAAGCAACCTAAAAGCCTAGTATTGCAAATTTCTGAATTTGTTTAAGAAAATCAAGTTTATTTGATACTAGAACATTTTTGTTCTCCTTACTGCAGAAGCTTTTTAATAAAGAGGTTTATGATTGAAAAGAGATTTACTATGTGATTTACTAAGTTCTATGTGATCGAAGGAGATTATTTATTTGGTAATTAGTGTGGTTTCCCATATTAAGATACATAAAATGGGTTGCAAAGAAAGAGTTTTGTCAAATTCTCTTTTAAAGATTTTTGAAAAATAAACTAACTTTTTATCTCTTCATTACAGGAAGGGAAGAGGGATGCAATAAATATAGGAGGGAATATTACATTGCCTTTCCAAGTTGGCAAAAATTATTAATACCATAATACCATAAATAATACCATAAATTTTGTTTGCCAAGAATTGTTTTTATTTAGAAGCTTCTGATCGTAGCGTACACGACTGCTTTCCTCTTCTGTACTCCACAAGCTTACATCTTTAACGTCACACAAAGGGTAAGATCAAGGAATATACATAGGAACCCTCTTGTTCCTAGAGCTAAGGAATATACATAGGAACCCTCTTGCTCCGAGAGTTAAGATAGAAAATATTAAAGCTTTTTTCCACTGCAGATCTTCCTGTACATTTACTGGAATACCTACATACAAACTGAAAACTGAATTTAATAACCTTCATTTAACCTTTAAGCTTGGGGACTTGGTCGACATATTTTATTAACTTTTTGATTGTTTTTACAGTCTAATCTTTTCGGGTAACCCGGTAGCTTGTACTCTTTAGTACAATACAGTACAGTACAGTACAGTACAGTACAGTACAGTAAAGTACAGTTCAATACAGTACAGTACAGTATCGTACAGTGCGGTACAGTAAAATACAGTAAATTACGATACAGTACAATACAATACAGTACAGAACAGTAAGTACAATACAGTACAATACAATACAATACAATACAATACAGTAAAGTACAGTACAGTACAGTACTATAAAGTACAGTACAGTACAGTCTAGTACAGTACAGTACAGCACAGTACAGTACAGTACAGTATCGTACAGTGCGGTACAGTACAATACAATATAGTACAGTACAGTACAATACAGTACAGGACAGTAAAGTACAGTACAGTACTTTTTTTTTTGAAGTATATTAATATCTATTTGTATGGGTTTCTGGTAAAAGTGATGAACTTTTAAACCACTTAAACTTAAAGTGTTTATGTTAGTCAATTCTATTCTCTTTCAACTCATTCAACTTTTTAGTTTTAATTAATAGATTACAATAGACTATGCAATACTTACATTAAGTGTATTTATTACATTGAATAAAAATAAAAAGGTATAGCTATTGACTTTACACAATTTACATTCTATGATTCTTAAAGGGACAGTAAAGGAAAAATGAAAGGGGGTATAGGTTAAAAGCTAATCTCTTTAGCTCTTGATCGCGACCCATGAAAGTTTTATCTGATGTTCCTGTCTCGAGAAATTGATATAAAACTGTGTTAAAATTATATGAAAATTCATATATGTAAAATTTAGAAAATCTTAAACTTAAATCACGTGACCAGAACTNAGATACAGATACAGATACAGATACAGATACAGATACAGATACAGATACAGATACAGATACAGATACAGATACAGATACAGATACAGATACAGATACAGATACAGATACAGATACAGATACAGATACAGATACAGATACAGATACAGATACAGATACAGATACAGATACAGATACAGATACAGATACAGATACAGATACAGATACAGATACAGATACAGATACAGATACAGATACAGATACAGATACAGATACAGATACAGATACAGATACAGATACAGATACAGATACAGATACAGATACAGATACAGATACAGATACAGATACAGATACAGATACAGATATATTTTTTAAGTTTTGATAAACTTATTATTGTATATTTAGAGTTTATGTGAGAGCGGTGAACTATTTGAAATGTGCTGGGCAGACTTTACTGGTGTAATCACGTCAGAGGTAAGTTACGCTGTTAAGGACCTAAATCTTATCTGATCTGAAGAAATATACATTATTAAGAGCTTGTTTTTAGCTACGCTTGTGACATTTAGATCTCGATTAATAGTTTGTTTGATAGCTACGCTTGTGTCCTTGTGTGGCATTAAGAGCTCGATTAATAATTTGTTTGATAGCTACGCTTGTGTCCCTGTGTGGCATTTAGAGCTCGATTAATAGTTTGTTTGATAGCTATGCTTGTGTCCCTGTGTGGCATTAAGAGCTCGATTAATAGCTTGTTTGATAGCTACGCTTGTGTCCCTGTGTGGCATTTAGAGCTCGATTAATAGCTTGTTTATTTTCATTTTTTNGGCATTTAGAGCTCGATTAATAGCTTGTTTGATAGCTATGCTTGTGTCCCTGTGTGACAATTAGAGCTTGATTAATAGCTATTGTCCGTATTGACACCAATAGCTAACAAGATCGCGCCCAGTGGTAGTGGCGTTGATATAGTTCATGGGATTGTGGCCGTGTGGATTGTGTCCTGGTTAACTTTGATAGTGGGCGGGTTGTACCTACCTGGACTGATACAGTTTGGGACGAAGTTTTAAGAGTACGACATTTACTAAATATCAACATCTGGCTCTGAAAGAGGGAATGCGGCTCGGCAAAAGAAAGTTTTGGGGCTTGCCTTCCAGGAAGTTTAATATAATTCCTGTCACGTCAAAACTGCAAATCAAATAAAATCAAATACCCCTCAGCGATTTTAATAACAGTTCAGTGTGGGTAATAAAATCATATATATCTTTAACAAAACTTTTTTCTTGCTTTATATTTGTTACAAAAGAACTCTGGTTTGGTTTGATTTATGCTTTTCATTTCTCTCCTTTTTACTTTCCTTTTTTCCTAAATAAAAGAAAAAGATAAAAAAATAAAAGGTCTTTACATTTAAATATCTCTTTTTATTTAATTAAAATATAGTAGTAGTTCTCATTTTTATTATTATAATCATCTAGTATAAATTTGGCTGTTTTTTAATTTCCAAAAAAAACGGTTGATAATTGAGGCTCTGAACTAGGCTTCAACACGAAAAGGTGTAAACACGCATCATAGGAGTTTAAAAAGTTAATGCGTGTCCAAAATTTGCTTCAAATTTTTGCTAATATCATTAAATTGAACTGATGCTCTGGCACACAAAGGGGAATAAAGGGGGGGGCAGCAATATTGTTTTTACACCATAAACATCTTATTTGAGTCAACTCTAAGGCTGAGTATTTTTTTTGCGAGAAGCCTCAAAGGCTTTATAATGTTGTGTTGAAGTTTTGAAAAATGACGGAAAACTGGTAATTACAGTGAAAACTCTTAAAATGGGTATTTTATATGTAAACGAATCAGAGCCCAACCAAACCAATACTTGGGCGGGCTTGTGGCGCCCCTGCATCTCTGATTAATGGTTGTTAGAATCTATTTATATACCTATTACCTAGATTATCTTGGATCCGTTGTAATTGTGTTAAAAGAGCTATAAAGTATATGTGTGTTTCCCGAAATAGTTAGCTTTAGCAAAGACGACATTCTAAATGTATTGCTGATTTACAGGATCCATTCTAGGATAAATATATGAACGGGAAAATTAATTATAAAATTGAAATCATTATAAATCAATGCAAGCTACAATTGATACAATGTTCGTAAATGAAAAGATTATCAGAATATATTCATTTTGTCCATTCCCACCTTGAGACACAAGACAAATGCATTTTAATAGGAGTATTGTGACGAAAACCAGTCACCCCCCTTGACCCCCTAAAATACCCCACCGTGTGGCATCAGCTAAACTTTAATTAGGCACATTCTGTAGATTTTGTCATTTAATCGTTTATTGGTATTCAGAATCAGATTTTTTAAAGTTTATTTTTTCTTTCTAGGCGTATGTTCTTTTCTACACAGCGGCAAACTTCTGCTTTCCACTGATTGTTCTCTCTCACAGCTACTCTGCTATCTGTCTAGCACTTTGGAGGTATATATATACAGCTACTCTGCTATCTGTGTAGCACTTTGGAGGTATATATATGTACAGCTACTCTGCTATCTGTCTAGCACTTTGGAGGTATATATCAGGGGTCAATATAATTCCCTTTTCAATCCCATTTGGGATTGACGAATTTGAAAGAAATGGGGGCAAATTCTTTAATTGGGGGCAAATTTTTTTTATATGATAATTAAAAAAAAAATTGGGGGCATTTTTTTTCGAGAAAATCAGCTTTTTTGGGAATTATATTGACCCTTGGTATATATAGATAGATACAGAGCGTCCCATATCATATTAGATTATCTCCAATCTTTAACACCAAAATAAACCCTTAATACTCAAAAAACTTATCATTTTCCGTAAGACAATTCTTATATAAGCCTTATGTTATTTTTCAAAATGATTCATGCTAATGAAATTTTATAATTAGTCCCGAAAATCGTAATTTAGACCCGTTCTCGGGTNAATAAACGTCAAAACGGCTGAACCGATGTGGGACCTCACATGGCCCCAGGGAAGGTTTATGGATGATCAAAATTAAAATAAGTGCCTCTGAACTTCTATTTTCATTGATTTTTGAAAATCCACAAAATTATTTTATAACTGAGCTTGACATCTGGATTACAATTTTCAGTCTCTGGGTCAGCTGCAGGTGCAAGTCTGTCTGTTTTCTTGTATCAGGGAGTTCGTTTTCTCAAACTCTTTGTAATCTTCTTGTGTTAAATCTTCATCCAACTAGATAGATAGATAGGTATATAGATAGATATATAGTTAGATAGATAGATAGATAACGTTTATTGCTAAAATACATGTATCTGTGTACAGAACGAGATTTCAATTACAAATTGAGGATTATATTAACAGTACAAGTATAAAGCAAGAAGGTGGAAAATAGCTCTTGGCTGTTTTGATTATTTTTTCCACCTAATTTCAATAATGATAACAACACATTTCAATTAAATAGATTTAAGGAGAACAATTAGAGATATATATATATACAGCTACTCTGCTATCTGTCTAGCACTTTGGAGATATATATATATACAGCTACTCTGCTATCCGTCTAGCACTTTGGAGGTATATATATACAGCTACTCTACTATTTGTCTAGCACTTTGAAGGTATTTATTAAACAACTGCACTTTGGAGGTTTATATATAGCTAATCTGCTATCTGTCTAGCATTTTGGAGGTATATATATACAGCTAATCTGCTATCTGTCTAGCACTTTGGATGTATATGTACAGATACTCTGCTATCTGTCTAGCACTTTGGAGGTATATATACAGCTACTCTGCTATCTGTTTAGCACTTTGGAGGTATTTATATAACTACTCTGCTATAAGCCGCAGCGCTCGGCCCAGAAAGTGTCTTAACCTAACCTAACCCTAAATAATAATAAATAAATGGATATAATTGACCATGTGGCCATAGCGCTCGGCCCCCTAGCCTGTCCTAGCCGCAGCGCTAGGCCCAGAATGAACCTAACCTAATCCTAAACTGTTTTGAAGATTTAAAACTTTAGTCTGATTCTGGCTTGGCTTCCATAATGGTCGGGTTGGCAACATTTATTGCTGCAAAACAAGGTGGTAGGATCATTGTAGATGAACAGGGATACCATTACAAGAAGACAAGTGTAAACAAGAAGATGGGTGTAAGCTATTTGAGGTGTCTTGATAAGATTGCTGAAAAATGCGATGCTATTCTTATCGATGAATCTGGGATAATTAAGTCCGTTAAACCCGACCATGCCCATGGAAATAGGTTTGTGAAGAATAAAGTTCGAGCTGTTGAGCAGGAGAAAATAATGGCTGCTGCAAACCTGCCTACAGTTGCCCCAAGAGCAGTTTTTGCTGATATTACTGGAACTGTAAACCAAGAAATGATGGATTCTGCTGCAGCTTATATTATATTATATGTATATTTATAATCTTTTTTTCAAAGTTTTGTAGACAAAAATATTCATTGCATTGAAATATAAATACAGAAACCAATAATTATTTTTTCAGTATACAAATTTGTACAGTGTTAGTAAAAAAGAATGGATAACAACTTAACAGGTATCTAACTGTCTAAATGATAAAAATATTTTTTGATTTGAATCATAGGAAACTCGCAACCCTCCTATCAATTTTGTACATGGATCTTATGTTAGACATGGATATAATTGACCATGTGGCGGCAGCGCTCGGCCCCTAGCCTGTCCTAGCCGCAGCGCTCGGCCCAGAAATTGTCTTAACTAACCTAACCCGTGGCCGCAGCGCTCGGCCTCCCAGTCTGTCCTAGCCGCAGCGCTCGGCCCAGAAAGTGTCTTAACCTAACCTATACCTAAATAATAATAAATAAATGGAAATAATTGACCATGTGGCCACAGCGCTCGGCCCCCTAGCCTGTCCTAGCCGCAGCGCTAGGCCCAGAATGAACCTAACCTAATCCTAAATAATAATAAAAAAATACTAACTGTCAAAATTAAAAAAAATTTGCCCATTTGTCGCATTTTTTGACCCTTTGTCGTTTGACCCTGTGTCGTTTGACCCTTTGTCGCGTTTTTGACCCTTTGTCGTTTGACCCTGTGTCGTTTGACCCTATGTCGTTTGACCCTGGGTCGTTCAAACCCTGGGTCGTTTGACCCTTTGTCGGTGAATCCATTTGTTAGTATATATATACAGCTAAATTTTTATAAAATGAAGAAGTTCCACGTACAGAGTTATTCACAGAAAATCAGAGTCTATGTCCGGAATCAACTCGTCCACTCATCCACTCGTCTACTCGTCCATTAGTCCACAGTCCCTTTAATATCTAATAAATTGGGAATGATGGTTGACTAGTCTGCAATCACTTTAATATCTAATAAATAAGGAATAATGGTCCACTAGTCCACAGTCCCTCTAATATCTAATAGATTAGGAATGATGGTACACTAGTCCACAGTTCTTTTAGTATCTAATAAATTCGGAATGATGGTCCACTAGTAAACAGTCCTTTTAATATCTAATAGATTAGGAATGATGGTCCACTAGTCCACAGTCCCTTTAATATCTAACAAATTAGGAACGATGGTCCACACGCTGTACCGAAGACGATTGTACTCTTCGAGAAGGAAAATGTGGAGACTCTGTCATACAGTGGACACAGGTACAGTACAGTACAGTACAGTACAGTACAGTACAGTACAGTGCAGTACAATACAGTACAGTATAGTACAGTAAAGTACAGTAAAGTACAGTATGTATCAGTACAGTACAGTACAGTTCAGTACAGTACATTACAGTACAGTACAGTACAGTACAGTACAGTACATTACAGTACATTACAGTACAGTACAGTACAGTACAGTACAGTTCAGTACAGTACATTACAGTACATTACAGTACAGTACAGTACAGTAGTACAGTACAGTACAGTACAGTACAGTACAGTACAGTACAGTACAGTGCAGTACAGTACAGTACAGTACAGTACAGTACAGTACAGTACAGTACAGTACATTACAGTACAGTACAGTACAGTACAGTACAGTACAGTGCAGTGCAGTACAGTACAGTAAATACAGTACAGTACAAAATTTATAATGTTGGAATCTTCAAACATTTTTATTAAAACTGAACCATTTTGTATATATTCCATTCAAGAACAGTAATATTATGTTTTCAGGACTCCTGTACATACATATTCCTTGTCAAAATCACTTAATTTATTAGTCCTCTTTTAATCAATCAATCAAATTAGAGAAACAACAAAAATCTGGGAAGGAATTGGGTCTTTACCACAATCTTAAATTTTCTAATCCAAACACCTTTGTTACCTGATGGCGTAGACCGTTAATATTCTAAACTTAGTTTATTCGAAATATCTAACATTGAGTTGCACAGATGTTAGAAAGTCAGAGTTTGTGTTAAAGACTCAATCTCTCTCTCTTTTAATTACAAAATTTCAAAATATAGCTTTAAGGCGCAATGCACCCTGAAATAAAGTATTAGTTGACGGGATGAAGTATAGATATATATGCCCTACTAAACTTAAAGTTTGATTTGATATAAAACTTTATATTTTGGTTCGAAAATATCTAAAACTTGTTGAAGATGAACGAAATGTGAAAAATTAGGTTAAATCTAGTTTCTCAAGGTTGATTATAAAGTGTCATGATTTCTATATTTACTCTGTTTACTGAATCTATATTCTCCAGGTAAAGGGAATGTTAAAGATATATTATCTGATAAATAATGTTGAAAATATTGTCGTTTTTCTAGTTTTAAAATTTTTGAATTCCTATTTTCTTCACTTTTGTAGAGAAACCACAATTAGAAATATTCTATTTTCAAGATTATAAACATTATTATCTAGTTCATTTATTCATTATTAATCCAGAGAGAATACTATAGATGTTTCTTGCCCCAAAATAAAAAAATGGGGTCATCGAGTTGAGGTGTGCGCGTTGCTACTAAGTAGATGTGAAATATTTTGAGATTGTATCATACATAAGTAACAAAGTTGGCTACTAAGAAGATGTGAAATATTTTGAGATTGTATCATACATAAGTAACAAAGTTGGCTACTAAGAAGATGTGAAATATTTTGAGAACAAAGAATCTGCGCGTAAAAAGAAATAAGAGAGAATATGATGATATAGGTTGTAAGGTTACTTAAGGTTAATGTCGTGATTTTGGCGTTGCATAAGTATTTGTCTGAGATCAAACAAGGACCCTATCTTGATATCTTAGGATTCAATCATTCTTCTTAGTGCTGTTTAGTTCAGAAAAAAAATTAATGCAAGAAAAAAGTCCAACAAAATATTTTAAAATTAGTTTGAAGGAAAAAATGTTCAACTTATATCAACCAAAATAATATCACCAACTTACAAACATGGAAATCCCAACAAGACTCTTTATTTTTAGTACATTCTGCTTGTTAAAAGAAGTAAAAAGTAATTTAGTTGCTTGTCTCAAGAGTCATGGTTCTTCTAGAATTTAATTCAGTCGCCGTCGCATTTATGATAACATTGAAGACGACTTTCAATTTTAATTTGGATTTATATGGGATTAGTTTTACAGTGTTAGGTTCGATTTGCAACACTATAAAGGAGCTGTACAGTGTACAGTGTACAGTGTACAGTGTACAGTGTACAGTGTACAAAAATCTAAGATGTTTTATGCATTTCAAAATTTAATTCTCTAAAAGTTTGTTTTGTCACACTGAGAAAAGGCTGGCTTATTTAAATATCATATTTCAGATGATGAAAAGATTAAATATTTTACAGATCTTTGTTAATCCTTTTAAAAGTAGAAATAAAAAACTTATTTTGAAAACAAACTATAATCACAAAACACTATCTATAAAGTGCCGCATATATGATGCTCATTAATTGTTCTGAGGAATATCATCGCTACATTATACAGTATTTTGGGGATCACTGTATGTGAATTATTTAAGGTTCCGTTGGGTGACTATCAAGGATTCCGGAAATGCTCGAACGGAAACAGAAAGTCCACGCTCCGAGACTACTGCGTTTCAACCAGAGGTAAATTTTGTTAAAATAACATAAAATTTAATTTTAATACCATTCTTACCCTTCACCGTGACAAGACGTGAGTGTGGGTGTGTGCGCTCGGTCATCTGGCACTAATTATCTATAAGTTCATGTATAGATAGTTCAGTCAACAATTTATACAGGGTGTATAAAATGGCTGGTAGGAAAAATGCAAACCATGAAAAACCTCCAAGGGCTACTAACTCCAAGGAAAATAACAAGTCAGAAAATCACCCAGAAATAGAAATTGCTGCCCTAGATTCTATTCTCAAAAACCTGTCCGATCTAGGAATTGGTTCTGAGACTGATATACAACCTGAAAAATCTAGTTTTGGTACAATTCTAAACCATTTAGTTGAAATTGTGGTTATACTGAGCAAGGAGATATCAGAGCTCAAACAACAGAAGCAAGAAGAGAAGGAGATAAAAAACCAGCTTAGAAAATGTGAGGACGACCTAGATGAATCAAAACAGCGTCAATTAAAAGGAAACCTCATCCTCTCCTGTCAAAAACCAAAACCTGGCAGTCCATCCATCATCAAAAGTGATGAACAGCTGGGTAGCAGCTCCATTTCTGCTCATTGCATAGAGCTAGTAAAACAGAAATACAAAGTAGAGATACCTGAAGGCGATATTCAGGCCTGTCATAGGCTCCCAAATGGATCGGTATTGCTTAAGATATGGCAAAGAGGCCCAACTTCAGCCTGGAATCGACTTTTGTCTGGAATCAAGACTGGAGGAAACANCCCCCCCCCCCCCCTCCATATACAGATACTGTGGCAATTGGCACGACAAACTTTAGTCATTGAGAAATTGATTAAAAAAGTTTTTTCTTAATCTATCAATTGACAAGTTCAACCTGAGTTGGGAATTAATCAATATGGAGAATTAGTTGAACTAGTAAGATCTAGTTTAATTACTTGTGCTGGCCTAGACAACTTATCTTAAGCCGCTTTCCCTTTAAAAATCCTAGAAATTCTGGTAACAAAGTAATTTTGCCGCAGTAAGGGTGGGGGAGGGGGGAGAGTGGGAGAAATTTGTCAACGGTAAAATGTAATAATTAATTGAGTAAACTTCTGAAGGTTTAAAGGGTTTCATACAGGGTTACCCACAAAGAATGAGACTGTAAAGACGACCTAAAACAAGTTTTTAGTTGCTGCAGAAAATCATAAATATAAGGAAACAGCCTGTATAAATTCCGTACAGTCGTCTCTGAAGTCGCATCCTTTGTGGGTAAACCGCTATTAAACAGATTCAGGAAGGAAGGGATTTATGAGTTTCAAAATGGACTCAGAAAATTATTATTATAATTAAACCTCATTTAGAACTATTTTCATTTTCATTTTATTAATAAGATTTTTTATTGCTTTTTATTATATATTTTAGAAATATTTATTATTTTTAGGTTATTCGTAAACCATCAGTCATCCAGACCCTGTTCTCATGGAAACAGGTTTTTAAAAATTTTAATATGTATATGTTTTAAAAAAATCTACCATTTTGTGCATTTTTGAACTATTCACACATATGTATATGATTTTAATCAATTTCTACAAATTTTCGCACATTTGTTTGAATTCTTTTTTACATCATTATACATTTTTACATATTTTTTTACATTGTTCTACTTATAAACACATGTTGTCCGTTGTCACAAATTATACACATGTCTATGTATTTATATGTCTGTATATTCGTACTGATGATTGCATAAAAGCATGAAACAATTTGTTTATGAATAAAATGTTATAAGAAGATTGTTGCGTTTCAACTGATATTATGTATTATATGTATCTATATGATTTATTATATATTTATAAACATTACTAAATATTTTACACTTTATGTATGTTTTTTATACATATTTATTTAAATGTTTTTTCTCATTTCTAAACTTTTAATGCATGATACGTACTATTCTTTCTCACTGGAATGCAACTTAATTTATCATGAAATAAATGCAGTTGTTACACAAAAGTAAAATGGTAACATGTGCAACAGAGTGCCTTAGACATTACTTGCAGCTTATTTTATGGAATGAGTCAGAACATTTTGATGAAATCTCAGCTCTCCATGACAGGATTAAGAAAAATTATTCTTAGCTGTGAAACTTTTCTTCTAGTCATTTAAAGTCAATTTACTCATTGTTTCTTTTAAGACGCCTAAACCTATCAAAATGTAATTGTAAATTTAATTGGTTTAGTGAAGAGTTGGTGGCCATGTTAAGTCTTATTCTAATGAAATTCTAGCCATGAAAATCGACCAAATACAGTGAAACCCTTAATAACGAATACATCGGAAGAATTTTTCAAATGTCGTCTTGACAATTTTTCAATGAGTTTTATACTATATTTCGTAAATTTCAGTATTTGCGAAAATAAATAAATAGCCATGAATATGCGGGAACAGTTTTAAAGAGTTCCATATAATCATTTGATTAAAAGACTAAATATCTGCAACATTCCATTATCAGAAAGTGAAGAATACGACATTTGATGAATTCTTTCGATGTATTCGCTATTAAGGGTTTCACTGTACATTATTAAACCGGTTTTATATCCCAACTCTGTGAAAAATAAGTCGCAACTCTGAACACGTGTAAACTCTGCCAATTGAAACACCTAAACACGTGTTTTATATACCCCCTAAACACGTGTTTTATATACCCCCTAAACACGTATTTAGATTGACCGTGAGGGAGAGCGTATGTCTGTGTCCTCAGAGAGACAGAACTCCGTGGAAAAGTTGGTTCAGGTAAAACAAAACTTTGTTTATGTTCATCAAAAAATGTTCAACTATTTTTGTTTAAGTTTGTATACCCTGTATCGACTGAACAAAACTTTTTTATAAGTGAAGTTTTTCGTAATTTAACATCAAATATTGAAGAAAAAAAAATATTTTTAATGGTACGTTATAAAAAGAAACAAGTCAAAGCTTAATATTGTTTTATAACCTTTTATTTTCTAAAGAAAAATTGAAGAACAAGTCAAAGCTTAATTTTGTTTAAAAACCTTTTATTTTCTAAAGAAAAAATTGAAGAACAAGTCAAAAACAAATTTTGTTTAAAAAAATTTTATTTTAAAAAATCTTAACAAATTTTTTTAGGTTGTTTCCAACACTACAACATGTATTTCAAGAGCAAAGGTAAACAGTANAGGCAAATAGGGAGGGAGGGGCAGACCAGGCAAATAGGGAGGGGGGTATCTAAAAGGGGTGTGAGTTAATTACATCAGATTCCTTAATTGGATAAAAAATGAACTAATAGGATACTACAGGTTGTCCCACGAAACATGACAGTTGGTAAATAGTTATGAAAGTCGTCTTTCCTATAATTTATTAGATATTAAAGGCTTTTTTGCGGTTTAATTCGTTAAAAAAAAAAAATTCTGAAACATATTTTATTTTTAAACCAATTTTACTATAACATGACTACCAATAATTATTTGTATTATTGTCTAATTGATATCAAACAACTCAATAAATTATGGAAGAAGACATTCTAAACTATTCACCAACTGTTATGTTTCGTGGGACAACCTGTATCTCATAATCTTGTCCTTGATTTGATTCTGGCCTCATCTCATCTTTTTGACAATTTGGAAAACTTGTCTCGACACCTTCGACAAGTGCCAAATTCATCAGTTCAAGATTTTTTGTACACACTGTACTTAACATTCCAGAGCTGAAAACTTTAGAATGGGATATCCTTAATCCCGATCGGTTAATTAATCTGAAGATTAATAACAGGAGGAGAACAAGCATTATTTAATCTGGAGATTAAGAAAAAGAGGAGATCAAGCATTGATTTCGATATCCACCATTCTAAAATTTTCAGCTCAGTTCATTTGAGCTAGAGCAAGTACAGATCTCAGACTAGGCAAAACGGGACGGTACACTAAATAAATCATTCCCTTCTATATATGGAGATTAATGTTTTTAATTTGAAACCTGTCCAGTCTCTCGGATTGAATATTTAGTTATTCTTCCTACCGTTGATGTCGCTTCTTGCCATAATCAAAAATATATATGAGCCTGTAATTTAAAAAGAATTAGACCTGGGTTTAGAGCTTTATCTTAGACCCAAGAATCAGCTGACGACAGTTTATGTCACGTGAACCAATCTCATATAATTTAAGCGCGGTGAAGAAACCGACATTGATTGGTTTTAATGGCGATATTCAAGATTTAATTAATAAATGCTTAATTTTTCGATTTTTAGATTTTTCGTTGATTTTTTTATTAAGTTTTAAAATTAAATAACTAGTTTAAAATTGGACTTGACTGGAGAACAAAAACTAGGACTAAAATGTTATTAGGCTCAAGCCTTAGTTTTAATGACTGCTTAGTCTTGAAAGTCTTGCTTGATTTAAATCTGGAAGATATAACCAGATGTCATGCCTTTTCGTTAATCCATTAATGTTTAATGCTGATGCATTAAAACTTTACAAAATACAGATAATGGATGGACATTAGTGTTAAAGAAATTGTTAGTTAAAAGAACAGTGCAGAAAGTACAAAACTACATAAAAATATGCATTTTCCATAGTTAGGCTTCTTTTAACCAGTAAGATGAAACTTTTCTATATATTTTTTTAAATTAAGATTAAAATAAAATGATAACACAGAGCAGATAATGAATAGAGTGCTGGTAATTCATGAAAAATTAACACCGCCATTTTGCTGTACTGTAATTTGAAAATTATTTTGAATCTTCAAAAAAAATTATTTTATTTGACACATTTGAAAGCATAGCAGGAGGGGGTGGGAACATCATGTGTGTGTGTCTGTACAAAAGAGTGTGTGTAAGGAATACCGAACTCATCTGCAAAGCAGTGCGTCTGGCTTTTTTATGCCAGATCAGCGCCATTTCCTTTCCCTTTATTCCTATTCCCTGAAGCATAGGCGTACGTTATTGTTATGATGTACTGCTTATAATATTTGAACATTTACAAGAAATGTACACTGAGCTGAAAACTTTAGAATGGTGGATATCTGGATTAAGGCTTAATCCACTCTTTTTCTCAATATCCAGATTAAATATGGCTTGTTCTCCTCTCATTTTTAATCTTCAGATTAATTAAGAGAGCAAGATTAAGGATATCACATTCTAAAGTTTTCAGCTCTGAACTCCTTTCCTAGCCGAGAGAAAATAAAAATGTATACTCCGAGGAAACTCTTATTTATGATTTATCCTCTACGTATTTTCTTCTCTGTGCATGATATTATATACTGTACAGTGTACACAGCAAATATTAAATCAGATTTGTAAAGGTCAACATAAAATAGGAGAGCAAAATGCATTGTACAAATATTATTTGGCTAAATTTGTTATTTCAATTTCAAAATATTATGATAATAGTAGAACTTGAAAGATAATTCTAAATTTGATTCATTTATTTTCCAGGTAGAAAATTTAAAAATGGAAATATGCAGTGGTTTCTGCAACATTTTGGCTTCTTGCTTCCGGATCCGCAAAAAACTTGCTAAAAATTCAGTTTTTGGTCACAAAACATAGATCTCAACTGTTGTATGGTTGGAATCTCAATTAACTTTGCTTCATTATCTAAAACTAATATTTTTATGCTAAAAAGAAACTAAGAAATCAATATTAAAAAGAATTACTACAGGGTGAGTCAAAAAAAAGTGTGATTTACGGCGCCTGGTGCAAAATTGTACCTTTTTTTGTGCAACTGTCCTGTATGGTGTTACTTCAATATTTTTTGAAAATTTGTATTTTTTTGGTACTCCAATCGTCAAAAAAAAAATCCGCGAACCTTTTTTTCTCTCAAAATCAAAAGTTCAGAAAAGCAAAAATGTGTATATAAATTATTTCTATCGAAATCTAAAATTTTAAAAAGATTGAATCACAAATTCACAAAACATTCGCAAAATTGTAATGAGAAAATTCCCAATTGTTAGTTCTGGTCTATTTTTTAAGGAAAAGTTATTGAAATTCTCTAGTTCCTTTCTTCTTAGTAAATTCTAAAGTATTAAATATACGCTGTTCAGTTGAAACCTTAAGAACCATTGAACAACTATTTTTTCCGTAAAAATTATACCAGAACTGAAAATTGTGAATTTTCTTATTACAATTTTGAAAATTTTCTGCGATTCTGTGATACAATCTTTTCAGAATTTTAGATTTCGATAGAAATAATTTATTAACACATTTTTGTTTTTCTGAACTTATGACTTTGAGACAAAAAAAGTTCGCGGATTTTTTTTGGGCCATTGGAGTACCAAAATAAATACAAATTTTCAAAAAATATTGAAAAAACACCATTCAGGAGAGTTGCACAAATAAAGGTACAATTTTGCACCAGGCGTCGCAAACCACACTTTTTTTTACTCACCCTGTAGAAATAGAGAGTCAATAATTACAGTCAATTATTTGAGATGTAATAACATTGTAGTAAACCCCATATTATAATCCTGAACATACCAAGTTAAATTACGTTGTACATTGTATGTAAACTTAACTATGGTGTTAATATCTGTATTGTGATAACCTAATTATTTGAATTTGAAACATAAGAGTTGAGATTTAGACTGTGTGTCCTTTAAAACCGGAGAGTTAAGCCTGGTTGAGGTATTGCCTGTGTGGCATTTAGAATCAGAGAATAAGTCCTGGTTGATCTTGGTAACGAGTACACTTCACTATAGTTTCAGTAGAAGTAAATATTTCCATTTACTGATAGCGCCCATTGAAGGATTCATAACTCTAATTGGATAATGAGATAGATAGAAAGATAGATGTTACTATTTCTATTGGTTTAGAATAGACAACTAACACATGACTGAACCCTCATTGGATAAGACGGTAATGGACTCGGCATACAAGAGTGACCTGGATAGATACGTCTAGAGTAAAATTGTTATGGAGTAGGTATTTGCTACATGATAAGTTAAAATCATATTGGGCTGGACTATACAAGAGTATCAGAAAACGTTATCTATTTAAGGTGAAAACTGTTAAACTGACCACAGCAGTGATTGCGTGCTACATCATCTCTTCTCTACCCTTTATCATTGGTCAGCTTGTAGCTGTATACGGACCCACTGATACTGCTTCCTCTATAGGTCAGTGTTATAATAAATATATATAATTGGTCTGCTTGTAGCTGTAAATATACGGACCCACTGATACTGCTTCCTCTATAGGTCAGTGTTATAATAAATATATATAATTGGTCTGCTTGTAGCTGTATATATACGGACCCACTGATACTGCTTCCTCTATAGGTCATTGTTATAATAAATATATATAATTGGTCAGCTTGTAGCTGTATACGGACCCACTGATATTGCTTCCTCTATAGGTCAGTGTTATAATAAATATATATAATTGGTCAGCTTGTAGCTATATATATACGGACCCACTGATACTGCTTCCTCTATAGGTCAGTGTTATAATAAATATATATAATTGGTCAGCTTGTAGCTGTATACGGACCCACTGATATTGCTTCCTCTATAGGTCAGTGTTATAATAAATATACATAATCGGTCTGCTTGTAGCTGTATATATACGGACCCACTGATACTTCTTCCTAGATATAAATTCATAGAAATCATCAAATACATAATATTTTCAATATGAACAAAAAAAAATTTATAGGTTGTCACATTATTCCCATGTTTAATGGAACTCTTCTATAATCTTACTTATATTTCAATATCTGTAGATAAATGATTTTCATAGATTTTTACTTGATCATTTTCTAAGAATATCTTTTTCAAATTTTACTCAAAAAACGGCTATATGGGGCCATGCAAGCCACCTAGGTCATAAACAAACATTTTTTCAGTTTATGGAAAAACAAGACAAATAAACAGACAAGGCTTTGATATAAACTAGTGCAATAACTCAGCTTTGTTTTCTTTACAAGACTCAACCTTTTTAACTGAGACCTTTTAAACATTAAGCTAAGAACATTCCCGTGGTTCTCTCAAGTTCACAAATCAAAATTCGAAGCGAAGCAGTCAAGGAGTTCCTGAGTTATGATCGGAAATACAAATAGACAAACAAAGATTACAACTTTATGTAAATAGATATGTAAAGTGTGAACTCTATTTGTCTGTTTGTTTGGATGTTAGATCATAACTTATGAACCCATTTGAATGAGGACATTTTAAGTTGATTAGTTTGACTTTTATTGGTGAAACTTAGTTCAAAGGTACTGCTGGGTACTGTTCCTTTTACGAACAATGTTTTTTATTATTAAAACTTTAAACACAACTGATTGATCTAAGATTTATCTCTTAGAGAAATAATTAATTCTAATAATTTCAGCTGTTCATCTGGAAACCCTGCTCTACCTTCTTACCTTGAACTCAGGTAAACTTTTTAAACCAAGAGCAGGGAGAGATTTGCCGCCATGATACCTCGCACTTCAATATCCGAACCACTTTATGGCGGTTCTGCACTCCCTTCCTCGGAGTAGAACAATATCAATCTAACTTTAACCCTTACTTCTACGTCCTAAGAATGAATTCATTAATTAGAATATTATCATAGCCTTAACACTTGAACCTGGCTTCCAATACCAGAGCTGAAAACTTTAGAATGGGATATCCTTAATCCGGATCGGATAATTAATCTGGAGATTAAAAATGAGAGGAGAACAAGCAATATTTAATCTCGAGATTAAGAAAAAGAATGGATTAAGCATTACTCCCGATATCCACCATTCTAAAGTTTTCAGCTCAGGTTACATAACGATATCCTGTCTAAACTCTTGAACCTGGCTTCCAATACCAGGTTTCATAACGGTATCCTGTCTAAACTCTTGAACCTGGTTTCCAATACCAGGTTTCATAACGATATCGTGTCTTAACAATTGAACCTGGTTTCCAATACCAAGTTTTATAACGATATCGTGTCTTAACACTTGAACCTGGTTTCCAATACCAGGTTTCATAACGATATCGTGTCTTAACACTTGAACCTGGTTTCGAATACCAGGTTTCATAACGATATCCTGTCTTAACATTTGAACCTGGTTTCCAATACCGGGTTTCATAACAGTATCGTGTCTTAACACTTGAACCTAGTTTCCAATACCAGGTTTCATAACGGTATCGTGTCTTAACACTTGAACCTGTTTCCAATTCCAGATTTCATAGCGGTATCCTGTCTATACATTTGAACCCTGGTTTCCAATGCCAGGTTTCATAACAGTATAGTGTCTTAAAACTTGAACCTGGTTTCCAATACCAGGTTTCATAACAGTATCGTGTCTTTACACTTAAAACCAGGTTTTAAATACCGGGTTTCATAACGGTATTGTGTCTTAACACTTGAAACCTGGTTTCCAATACCAGTGCTGAAAACTTTAGAATCAGATATCCTAAATCCCGATTACTTAATCTGAGTATCCAATGGACACACTTTTGATTTTCTTCTTAAACCGTTCGTTCGTGGATATAGAAAAGAAAAATCAAAAATAGTTTTTTTTATTTAGGGAGTCCCTCCCATTTCTGTATAAAATCTTAAATGGCGCGCAAAATTTCAAATTTATCGGCTTCATCTACACGACTCTGATTGGATGATTTTTATACACTTTTCAGGATACAAGTACAAGATTAGGTTAGTCTCGATATTGAGAAAAAGAGAGGATCAAGTATCAATCTCAATATCCACCATTCTAAAATTTTCAGCCAGGTTTTATAACGAAATCATTTTATAACACTTGAACCTGGTTTTCAATACCAGGTTTCATAACGGTATCCTGTCTAAATACTTCAACCTGGTTTTCAAAACCAGGTTTCATAAAAAATAGTGTCTAAACACCTGAACCTGGTTTCCAATACCAGGTTTCATAACGATATCCTGTCTAAACACCTGAACCTGGTTTCCAATACCAGGTTTCATAACGATATCCTGTCTATACACTTGAACCTGGTTTTCAATACCAGGTTTCATAAAGATATTCTGTCTTAACACTTGAATCTGGTTTCCAATACCAGGTTTCATAATGATATCGTGTCCTAACACTTGAACCTGGTTTCCAATACCAGGTTTCATAACGATATCCTGTCTTAACACTTGAACCTGGTTTCCAATACCAGGTTTTATAACAGTATCGTGTCTTAGCACTTCAACCTGGATTCCAATACCAGGTTTCATTACAGTATCGTGTCTAAACACTTGAACCTGGTTTCCAATACCAGGTTTCATAACGGTATCCTGTCTAAACACTAGAACATGGTTTCCAATACCAGGTTTCATAACGGTATCCTGTCTAAACACTTGAACCTGGTTTCCACTACCAGGTTTCATAAAGGTATCCTGTCTAAACACTTGAACCTGGTTTTCAATACCAGGTTTCATAAAGATATCCTGTCTAAACACTTGAACCTGGTTTTTATTACCATGTTTCATAAAGAAATCGTGTCTTAACACTTGAACCTGGTTTTCAATACCAGGTTTCATAAAGATATCCTGTCTTAACGCTTGAATCTGGTTTCCAATACCAGGTTTCATAACGATATCGTGTCCTAACATTTGAACCTGGATTTCAATACCAGGTTTCATAAAGATATCCTGTCTAAACACTTGAACATGGTTTTCAATACCAGGTTTCATAAAGATATCGTGTCTTAACACTTGAACCTGGTTTCGAATACCAGGTTTCATAACGGTATCCTGTCTAAACACTTGAACCTGGTTTCCAATACCAGGTTTCATAACGGTATCCTGTCTAAACACTTGAACCTGGTTTTCAATACCAGGTTTCATAAAGATATCCTGTCTAAACACTTGAACCTGGTTTTCAATACCAGGTTTCATAAAGATATCCTGTCTTAACACTTGAATCTGGTCTCCAATACCAGGTTTCATAACGGTATCCTGTCTATACAATTGAACCTGGTTTCCAATACCTGGTTTTAAAACCATTTTCCTTTTTTCTCAATGAATGTATTGAGATCAACTTATAGAAATATATTTCAGAGATATCTTATTTCAATTTTTTATATTTAGTTCTGTATAGAGTACATTGAATAGGCATTATAACCATAATAAACTAACTTTCTTCTTTATAATCCATTAAACTTATTTATCAAGGTTAACTGACAATTTTCCGACGAGCTTTAGATCAAACATCTCCAAAAAATATATTAGGGTTTATTCAAAATTGGCGTTTGAACTTGTATTTGCACCTCTTTATATATAATTATATAAAATAAATTGCAATAATAAAAAGTATCATAAATTAAGGGAAATATAAGTTTTATCTCACCGTCTATTCACTCCATAATCTCATGGTTTGTCTGAAACCAGTGTCAACTGCGATGTTAAATTCAATAAATGTTTTGAGTTTAACCTTAGATTGGATTATAGTTCATATGCGTCACAATATCGACACGGAAAATATGTTTGTAACAGAACGAAATACGTACTTTGCTCTTAGTTACAACTGCAAACTCCTTAATATAACATTATTAACGAACACGCTTTATCTAAATATATAAAGTTGTAATTACTGTTGTTTTGTCCGATCATAACTTAGGAATCCCTGGGTGCATTTTAAATGTGGAACTTGGGAGAGCCACAAAGATGTTCTTAGCTTGGTTTGAAGATTCTAAACCGAGTAGGTCGACTTTTATCGGGAAAAATAGCTAAATCGACAATTCGCGGGTAAAGGGGGATAGTAATTATGAGTATCCAGGGCAACGTTGGGTTCCCAAGCTAGTATTCATATAAAATAGTTTATTTAGTAACAAATACCATTTTTTTTTAAATTGCATGTTAAATGACGCGTTCTTTGAAATAAAATTGTTTGTTAGGAACAAACTATTGATACAATATTGTTTGTTTAGTAACAAACTATTGATACAATATTGTTTGTTTAGTAACAAACTATTGATATAATATTGTTTGTTTAGTAACAAACTATTGATAAGATATTGTTTGTTTAGTAACAAACTATTGATACAATATTGTTTATTTAGTAACAAACTATTGATACAATATTGTTTGTTTAGTAACAAACTATTGATAAAAAACTGTTTGTTTAGTAACAATCTATTGATACAATATTGTTTGTTTAGTAACGAATCCTTGGATTTACATAATCTTCAACGACTCTATCTTCTCCTCGATGAAGAGCCTGTTTGCGAGGATAATCTGCAGGTTCGTAAACAATATTAACATTAAACTCTTAATTATTGTTTTTAACACAAATACTCATGATAGTTATAATGCCTTGTTATTGAAGACCATGGTCTCGTTGGTGTAGAGAATCTGACTTTTTGTCACAAACTCTTTGATGTTTCAAATTATAAATGAGATCATGAAATTTAAGGTTGTAAAGATATAGGAATTAGAATATATTAGTTTGTTAATAAAACTCAGTTTCTTTGTTTAGAAAATACGAGGAGGAGACAAACTGTAATCTCAGCTGTTAAACCGGAAACTGTGATCTCAGCTGTTAAACCGGAAACTCTTTTCTCAGCTGATAAACCGGAAGTTCATCTCAGCTGTTTAACCGGTAACTGTATTTTTAGCTGTTAAACCGGAAACTGTAATCTCAGCTGTCAAACAGGAAACTCTTTTCTCAGCTGATAAACCGGAAACTAATCATCTCAGCTGTTTAGCCGGAAACAGATAATCTGAACTGTTAAACCGGTAACTGTATTTTTAGCTGTTAAACCGGAAACTGTAATCTCAGCTGTCAAACCGGAAACTCTTTTCTCAGCTGATAAACCGGAAACTCATCTCAGCTGTTAAACCGGAAACTCTTTTCTCAGCTGATAAACCGGAAACTCATCTCAGCTGTCAAACCGGAAACTCTTTTCTCAGCTGATAAACCGGAAACTCATCTCAGCTGTTTAACCGGAAACAGATAATCTCAACTGTTAAACCGGTAACTGTATCTTCAGTAGTTAATCCGGAAACTGATAATCAAAACTTTTAAAACGGAAACTGATCATCTCATATTTCAGCCGGAAACTGAAAATCAACCAGTGAAATATTTTTGCAAATTTGTAAAATATAAAAATATTTCCATCTTATCCCTACTTTACTAAACAATTAACTCAAGTTATGCTGCAGTGCATAGTGCATAAAAAATGCATAAACAGTTAAACCCAATAAACAGAATTTAGAAGCTTGCATTTATCAAGTTTTATCCCATAAAACCGTGCAGTTCTTAAAGCTTAAATATTTCTGTGTACTTGTAAACAAGAGAGTTGTAAAAAGTTATTAGAATAATTCTTTAACTTTTACAATTTCTTTTCAGGTTGATAAAAACCAGCTAGTATATATTCAACAGCAATTGAACCAATTTTATGTACTATAGTATTAATATAATATGCTTCTAGCTCAACTTTAAATTGTGGCTCTATCTGTGAGCATCTTTTTTTTGTACAGTATAAACGAATAGCAAACAAATTTCTGGATTAAATAATATATTTTTTGTGGACTTTCAAAATTTTACAGAAATCGAAAAGTTTTGGAGACACATTTTTGTAATTCTGAGCATCCGTAAACATTTCTTGGGCCACATCGGTTCAGCCGTTTTGACGATTGTTAAATACAAACAAACAGACAAGCCAATTGTACATAAATAGATTTAGAGCGTGTATTATAAAAATATTATTTAAAAAATAAGTTTTTCTGAATAAAAAGGTAACATTTTCTTCTAAATAAAAAACAAAACTATATATATTCTGATATATAAACAAAACTATATATATTCTGATATATAAACAAAACTATATATATTCTGATATATAAACAAAACCATATATATTCTGATATAAAAACAAAACGATATATATTCTGATATAAAAACAAAACTATATATATTCTGATATATAAACAAAATGATAAGTGAACATATCAAAAATCTCTCATTTCTTGCTTATGCTGTGTACCAAAAGTAACTTTTCGTAATAAAATTTGCATGAAAAAATAGATGTTTTGTGCATATATTGTAAAAACTGTATAAAAGTGTTCTTTAAAAATGTCTATTTAGATCAATGTACCAAAAACTTTAATTTTTCAATTTACTCTGGATAGCTTTCTCAATCAATTTGATAAAAAAAAAATTACAAGCAAATTATATATATCTCTTTATAAATGAAAAAATGTCAACCCAAGTCTCACAACATGATAATGTAAGCAGGTAGACAGGTTTCTTTTTCAAACTCTTTCAAAATAATTTCCTGTTCAATTTAGATCTTTGTGCATTCTTGATTTTTAATTCGTAAATCCATTTCCTCTGACACCCTGAACCTTACCTTATCTTTATCATATCTTTATCAAAAACAAAAATGTATTAAATTTTATATGTTGGCAATAATATGTTGATTGGTGATAAGACTAAAACTATATTTAATATTTATTTTCTAAATAGAAGTTAGTGGAGTAAATGACGTAAAAAAAACTTTTATTAAACTGAATAATGTGATGGCATTGAACTACAGGTATTTTGTCTCTTGAGTTCCGTGATAAAGTGTGTAATGAATGTGATATATAATCAAGATCAATTCTTTTATGTTCAATGTACATCACTGTTTGTACAGATGTTGTAAACGGTACAATTAACACTAATATGTACATAAAATCTTATTCAAGTTATTTTAATTTCTTCAAAAAAAGTTTAAGTAAGAAACAAATTGAAATAGTATACATTTTTGTCGCTGCAATTAAACTTACTTGCTGCGTGTATTTCTACTTAATTGTAAATCTATGATTGAGAAAATATGGTCCGATACATTTGTATATTTAGTAATCTATGATGATCTCATATATTTCGAAAATTCGTTAATCATATTTTAATATGTTCCATTTATTTATCTCTGTTACTCATAAAAATATAGATATATTTTGAATTAGACTTAAACCCTGCAGTAAGCCTATAAGGACTTACAAAAATTCAGAAATCTTTAAAAATTAAAATAAATTAATGAACTCGATTTGACAAAGCATTTTTAGAGTGAATATATTTTTTAGTATTTTTTCTAGTTTTAGATATCTATATACCTGAGGCCGACTTTAAAGAATTTAAGCCGCGGCTCAAATATGCTTGGTTCCACTTAAAAATGAATTCAATGTTTCAAGATTTCAGACGACGCTCAATTGAAACCGGTTTTTGGGGAATTTGAGACGCGGCTTAAATTCATTAAATTCGGACACTGATCATCCAGGGGATTTCATAGATATATGACGATCACCGTTCAGTCAGTGTTTTTATTTTGCTACTCAGTGTACTTTTGAATGAGATATCCAACTTCTAATGTTTAAAAGTCTTGAAGAAAATGAAACCGTCTGAGCGGATGTATTAATTGATTTAAGATAAAAAAGTTTAGCGCTCATGATTAAAGGAGATGAGTTTTTGCCACAAACTCAGATTTTTTAATCCTTGTCTCTCTGCAACCCGGTCTTGTAGACCTTTGACATTTAAAATTTAGAATGCTGACAAATCAAATATTCTAAGTTTGAAATATAAAAGGTTTACAACATCCGGTTGTAAAGATAAAGTAATTAGAAAATTGAAGTTTGTGGCAAAAACTCAACTCCTTTGTTCTTTTTTAAAAACCGTTAAATAATCCCAAATTGTTTTTCTCTAAAATTGATAAGAAGCCCCTGCCACCCCCCCCCCCCAGTATTACTCAATTGTGTAAACTCTGTGATGTATTTTGATGTTTCTAGATGTTTATGAATGATTTTCAATAAATATGTGTTTTGTCTTGTATTTTCTATTGTTTTGATGGATGTTTAGATTTATTAATATAAATGAAATTAGATTTGAAAGCTTTATATCATACAACCCCGGCGTTGCCAGCGAAATAAAAAACCCGAATTTTGAAAAAGAACAAACATTTTAAAAATTAGTCAATTTTTTAGCCCAGATGTTATCCCCACAGTATCCATGGGTTCCCTCAAAAAATTTCAGCCAGAATGGTCCAGCCGTTTGGCCAGCTATAGCTAGCATATAAATATACAAATATACATATACTAGCTAAAGTGCCTAGCGTTGCGCTTGGAATTTTAGAATCATCTGAAATAAAAATTAGATTTTGGAAAAAGAAAAAAATCTAAAAAATGAGTTCCCTCAAACATTTCAGCCAATTTTGTCCAACCGTTAGGCCAGTTATGTATATAGCTATAGCTATAACATATATTATATATGAACGAAGAGCTTTATGATATATCGAGATGAGGAATTTGATTTGACCGTTTTAAACTGGACCTGCCAATCTTTAAATGAAGGGTACTAAGCTTGAAATTAGGTCTAAAAAATTCCTTTAATGGTTTCTAAAAATCTCTATTTATTGAAATAAAAACAAATAAATTTCGTCCGTTTGTTTTAAAACTGTTACAGCTGCAGAATACATATAATATTCTTTCTTTTTACCATAATAAATACATTTGTATACTGAAACCAGACCTTAACATATATCATCACGGTAAACTAACTAGACATAAACATATATCATCACGGTAAACTAACTAGACATAAACATATATCATCACGGTAATCTAACTAGACCTTAACAGATATATCACGGTAAACTAACTAGACATAAACAGATATATCACGGTAAACTAACAAGACCTTAAAAAGATATATCACGGTAAACTAACTAGACCTAAACATATATATCACGGTAAACTAACTAGACATAAACAGATATTTCACGGTACACTAACTATACATAAACAGATATATCACGGTAAACTAACTAGACATTAATAGATATATCACGGTAAACTAACTAGACCTACACAGATATATTACGGTAAACTAACTAGGCATAAGCAGATATATCACGGTAAACTAACTAGACCTTAAAATATGTCACGGTAAACTAACTAGATCTAAACAGATATATTACGGTAAACTAACTAGACATAAACAGATATGTCAGGGTAAACTAACTAAACATAAACAGGTATGTCACGGTAAAATAACTAGACATAAACAGATATATCACGGTAAACTGATTAGACCTAAACAGATATATCACAGTAAACTAACTAGACCTAAACAGATATGTCACGGTAAACCAACTATACATAAACAGATATATCACGGTAAACTAACTAGACCTAAACAGATATATCACAATAAACTAACTAGACATAAACAGATATGTCACGGTAAACTAACTAGACCTAAACAGATATATCACGGTAAACTAACTAGACATAAACAGATATATCACGGTAAACTAACTAGACCTAAGCAGATATATCACAGTAAACTAACTAGACCAGATCCCTCAATCAAACCAGATCGTTCAACCGCTCCTCGAATTCCAGTGACAGGGTATTCAACACATTCAGAATTTATATTTCCTAAGGAAAACAAGTTTTCTTCAGATTCCTCATAAGGTTATTACTCAACCCATGTTTTAATCCCAGGATTTAAATCAAAGACCAATCCAATTCAATCCAAGCTAATCCAATCCAAGCCAATCCAATCCAATCCAATCATCCAATTCAACCAATCCAATCCAACCCAATCCAACCCAACCCAACCCAACCCAACCCAACCTAACTCAACCCAGCCCAAACCTATCCAATCCAATCCAATCCAATCCAATCCAATCCTATTCTATCTAATCCAATCCAATTCAATAATCTATATATAAATTTGGCTTGTCTGTTTGTCTGTCTGTTTGTTTCCAATAAACGTCAAAACGGCTGAACCGATCGGGCCCAAATTTTTTGTGGGACATCACGTGACCACAGGGAAGGTTTATTCATCTATTCATCTGTTCATCTATTCATCTATTCATCTATTCATCTATTCATCTATTCATCTATTCATCTATTCATCTANGAGAGGGCTGAAAGGAACCAAATATAGAAGTTGAGAGGGCTGAAAGGAACCAAATATAGAAGTTGAGAGGGCTGAAAGGAACCAAATATAGAAGTTGAGAGGGCTGAAAGGAACCAAATATAGAAGTTGAGAGGGCTGAAAGGAACCAAATATAGAAGCTGAGAGGGCTGAAAGAACCAAATATAGAAGCTGAGAGGGCTGAAAGAACCAAATAGCTAAATTAGAAAATCATGTGTTTGATGCACCCTAACGTGTCATGTATCTATTCATATATATACGTAATGTATGTATATATATTTTATGCAAATTTCCTAGTTTTATTTCAGATTCATTTTTAATGCTCTAAATTCAGATATATGTAAATGTGGTCTTCACAATTTTTAATACTACACCATTCACCTGCTGGCAAATCAGAAACTAAAAAGTATGAAAAATATGAATTAATGTTTGACCAGGGAAACTTAAATCTTTATTTCAAGGTTGGTCTCATTCTCATGAATTCTCATGAATTCTCAAGTAGGATAAGAGGAAAATGTTCAATTCTTAGAAGTGAATTCTTTTAGAATTTCTTTAGAATAAATGAAATACCATTCGATATACCGCCCTACATCTCATATTCGATATACCGCCCTACATCTCATATTCGATATACCGCCCTACATCTCATATTCGATATACCGGCCTACATCTCATATTCGATATACCGCCCTACATCTCATATTCGATATACCACCCTACATCTCATATTCGATATACCGCCCGACATCTCAAATCCGATATACCACC